ACATTTTGTGAAATGCTTTGAAAGGGATCATCATCATCACTACATTCTTGGAAGATAAGGATTGAGATTTGTCAAGAATTCACATTCTGATTTGTTCAGCTTCCAGGTGAATTCGTTCCTTTAATTCTTTGTGTAATGTGTAAAAAAATCTTGAGTAGGTGTCTCAAGTGGTAAGGAATTCTTGTAGTGGGTTTCTACAAGAAGTTCTATCTTGGGTGCAAGAAAGTGTATATATTGAGTGTTGAAATGTGTGCATGTGTGGTATGCTCGTAAAATTTCTTCATTGAGATAGTGGAACAAATCTTGATCAGGTTATGATTGAGGACTAGATGTAGGTCACATGTGGAGTGGCTGAACCTGGATAAAACACTTTGCACTCTTCTCTCATCCTTATCTCTTACATTGAACAATCTTTAATTAAATGTCAGGATGGCTGGCTTTGATTAATATGCTTGTTTGATTAAAATGGTTTAAACTAGAACATAAGCATTGCATGATAGTAGTTCTTTAAGCTAATTCAATAAAGATTAAGCAAGAATTCATATATGAGTCATTCCCATTTACAAGAGGTTCAATTAACTTCATTGAAAATTAGTATTAGAAAAATTTTAATTGAAATAAAGATCCTTAAACTCTGATAAATTTTTTAAGTGTCATTGAATCCAATTCACCCCCTCTTGGATTGAGCCATTCTTTTCTATCAGTCTATGATGGGAGAATTGACATTTTCTTAGGGACTACAAATAAAGTAACGCAATAGTGGTATATTTGTAGGTCAATCTAAGTATTACAATGAGTTATTGAAGAAAATTGGTATGGAAAGTTGTGAAGAAACTACCACACCAATTTCAACTTCATGTAATCTTGACTTAGATGAGAGAGGTACAGTTGTAGACACATCAAAGTATAGAGGTATAATTGGATCTCTATTATATCTTACAGCTAGTAGACTCAATATAATGTTTTTTGTATGTTTGTGTGCTAAATGTTAAGCTAATCCAAAGGATTCACATATGATTGTTATTAAAAGAATTTTAAAATATGTAAGAGGAACTATTGATATCAGATTATGGTTTCCTAAAGGTGTATCTTTAATTATAGTTGCATATTCTAATTTTGATTATGCAAGGTGTAGATTAGATAGAAAGTGTACTAGTGGTACTTGTCATCTTTTAGGAAGTGCATTAGTTTCATGACATAGTAAGAAGCAAGTTTGTGTTGCTTTAAGTACAACTAAAGTTGAGTACAGAGCAACTAGAAGTTGTTATGCTCAACTCCTATGGATGAAACAACAACTAATGGACTATGGTGTAAGACTAGATAACATTCCTCTAAGGTGTGATAATACTAGTGATATAAATCTAACTAAGAATCATATCTTCCATTCTAGGACTAAACACATAGAGATAAGACATCACTTTCTTAGAGATCATGTTCGTTGGAGAAAAAGATACACACTAGAAGGGGAGTTGAATAGTATATATCAAAAACTCGTGCTTTTAATTTGCAGTAGAGTAGTAATCAAATGAAACACTAGAAACTAATCAGATGAAGCAAGTATTTTATATTGGTTCGTCTCAAACACAGAGACTACATCCAATTCTCAATCTAACCAGATTGAGTTCCACTATCTTGTACAAGATACAAGTATTCTTTCAAAAGCCACTTCTGGCTTAAGCCTAAGTAGTCTTTAACTTTCCTCTCCAAGCAACTACCCAAGTATTCTTTCAACAAGCCTCTCCAAGCTCAAAACCAAGTATTCTTTTTACAAGCCTCTCTAAGCCAAACACCAAGTATTCTTTCAACAAGCTTCTCCAAGCTCAACACCAAGTATTCTTTCAACAAGCCTCTCCAAGCTCAAACCCAAGTATTCTTTTGAACAAGCATCTCTAGGCTCAAACCCAATTATTCTTTTGAACAAGCCTCTTCATGCTCAACCTTTACAAATAAATTTGACAAGAGTTTTAATGATAGATTTCTCTCTTCGTGATGCTATGAAAGTAGAACACAAATTTAACTACAAAGAGCTATATACAAGATTTCTAATGAAGAGCTTCTTTGTAGTGTTTCAGCTTTGTTCACAATGTATTTGATCAATGAAAACTACTCAATGAATGTTGATCTTTTATGTACGACGCTTTTTCTTCGTATATGTATATTCTGAAACTATCACACACATTTTTTGTAGTATAAAGGTTTGATCCTTATATAGTAGTTTCAAAGAAGATGATCGTTACAACAATGTTGGATTTAAACTTTCAAATTTCTTTGCAAGTTGTTTCGTTAGTCTTCCTTGTTGATCCTAGAGATTACCATTGATGCATTTAATGTGAAGATTAAATGCTTATATGATCTAGGCAGGTACTTATCATCATTTTCTTCTATTTTAAGTGTAGTAGAGTAGTGTCAACGTAGAGCAGTTAGGGCTGGTGTAGAGCAATCTCTTTTAGTACCTTTTCCGTGATATTCGAGATCTTGCTTTTTGACTTTTCACGGATATTTTTTATTTTTCCTCTTTAATGCACTTTGATAGATTCGAAGTTCCTTTTTGTTCAATATATTGAGGAATAATACATTACATGAAGTTCAATGTCAGTCTTATATAATGGTGTTCATTTAATGTCATCAAACGGACTGTATGCTTCGTATGATTTTTTTTATCTTTACAGATGATATGTATTTTCTTCACATTTCATCTGATACGATTTATCTTTGAAGAATGCTAACTTTTGCTTAAAGAAAATCTTTCATTTGTCATCATTAAAACTTAAAGGATTGCCTATTGTCTTAAAACAATATTTTTGATTTAACAATGTTCAAAATGGAGATTGCATAATAGAGTTTATAGAAACAAGTAAACAATTAGCTGATATATTCATTAAGTCTCTACCAAGACACAGATTTAATTTTCTTAGAAATGAACTTGGTATATTGAGTGAAGCATGTTTATAATGATTGGAATATGCTTAAGGTGTTTGTATGCTGATATGTTTGAGTTAAATGATTGATGTAAACATAAATATGTTCAAATGTATGATAAGATTGAGTTAAATAATTGATGAATGTATAAAAGTGTTAAATTATATGTTAAAGTGTTAAGAAATTCGAAATTGACTATTCCTTACTAGAATAATCGATTAAAGTAAGTTTTAATCGATTATTTCATGTATATGAACTCATAAGAGTTTGTAATAATCTATTATTTTGTCAAATAATTGATTATCTGGGTTTGTGAGAATTCATATGTTACTGAAATAATTGATTATTTCAAGTAATAATTGATTATTTTAAGTGACAAGAGTGAGATGCTTACTGAAATAATCGATTATTTCAGTAAATAATTGATTATTTTAGGTGAACTAAGATCCTACTCTTTTTAATAAATGATTATTTCAGCAAATAATTGATTATTTCGTGCAGATTTGGTTTTTAAGCATTTTTGCTAACACAAATAATCGATTAATTGTGCAAATGATCAACTATTTCGAATTTGTTCACATTCTGTGAAGTTTGAATGATAGTTACTCGTGCCAAAAGCCAATGGGTTTGAATCTTTCACGAAAAACCCTGACTTTTCACTTCCAAAATGTATTATAATACCCAAAACCCTTAAACTTCACAACTATCATTATATATACATCATTTTTCAAGCATTCCTCTCACATTCTCAAACCCTAACTATCTACCAACCTTTAAACCTTTAAACTCTTCATCTCTTACCTTCTAAACACCCCATGACTTCTTTTTCTTCTAAGAGACCAAGAAAGCTTGAGGTTAAGGGGAGCAAGAGATCTTTACCTTCTAAGAGGTAGGCTCTGGTCAACCGGTGGTTCCTAGAGGAGAAAACCCTGAAGGAGTACTTTTAGTGGTATGTTGGGAGAAGAATCATCCCACTAGAGACTCTAAATCTAGAATTGTTCAATAATAAGGGTTCACATTTCCACTATTGTTTGAGTTTCAAGGGTTGAAAAAGTTTTTGGAACTTCAAGGTCCTTATTACCCAAATTTGGTAAGAGTCTTCTTCTGTTTGGCATCAAGTGTAGGGGGAGTGACAAATGTTGTGGTGAAGGGAGTGCTTGTTAGGTTGGACAAACATACCCTTTTAGCGGTTGTTGGTCTAAGGAGTACAAGCTTAAAGAGACCTTAAGGTGTAAACTTTGGTGACTTTAGTGACATGACCACTTTCAGGGATTGTCAGAGGAACCTAAAGACTCCAAACTAGAGTACGTTTCTAGCTAGTGGTATCAAGAAAAATAATAGGCTTATTTCTTTTATTATTGTTAGTAAAAGAATACTTGGTTAAGTCTGAAGAGTTTTATCTATAAAAGAATAGTTGTTTTGAGTCTGGAGAGATTTGTTTGTAAAAAAATACTTATTTGAGTTTGGAAGGACTTGACTATAAAAGAATACTTGGTGTTTTAAGTTTGAAGAAATTGTGTAAAAAGAATACTCAGGTAGATTGTTTGAAAAAGTATCCAAAGAATACTTAAGTTTGAATAAAAAATGATTTGTTAAAAGAATACTTGTATCTTTTTTAAGATAGTAAAACTCAATTTAGTTGGATTAAGAACTAAACATAATCTCAATGGTTGAAATAAATTAGTATAAAATCATCATGTGTTTCATTTGTTTTATCTCCTCCATTCTCTATGTTATTATTACTTTACTACTCGAAAAAATTTAAGTTTTTGATAGAGATTATTCAGTTCTCATTTTAATATCTATCTTTTCTCTACATCTATTCTTCATGTAATAATAAAAGATAAAAAAATGAAATATGTACACTAAAACCTTGATATTGACTTTATATATTGTTATAGATAATATTTATTTGTATATATAATTTTATTATAAAATTTAGTTATATATAATAAAGATTTAACTTAAAATAGTTGTGTGTCCAAAAGAAAAACTTTCACAAAAAATAAAAATAAACTAAACTAATTCCTAATCGGTAATTAAATTAATAAAAAAAATTAACCCCACAAAAAAATATATTTGAAGAACGCGACTTGATATGTGTGTTGGAAAAACCAGAAACACTGTAACAAGGACGCCGATCTCCCCGTAGGCGCGTTTCGTTCATTTACCATTCGTCCGAACAACCTCCTTATTTGTTTACACTTCCAACGACACACTCACGAAAGTCGTTTAGGTCAGCGTCTGGTTTGATCCACGTGTTCCTTAAACGACCCCAATCTATTGCGCAAAAGAAACGGGTTAGGCATTTTCATTTTATTGCGTATCTTGGCATCGCATCTACCTTTTCTTTTTCTTCCCAGAAGACACTTGCTTGTAATTTGAGATTGTGGAGTTGATTTGTGGTGGCCGAACTTCGTTTGCAGTGATGGGTGGGAGAAAATCAGAGGCAGACAAACAATTCCACCTGTAAAAGAAGGACAAGTTTTGTGAAGTTGATGCGAGAATAAGAACTGGATAGAAGCATGGGATTAAGTGTTTCAATGCTCCCTATGAAAGTGGTGCTGCTGATGTTGCTCATATTTCTTTGCTACTCTGTAGCATACTCCTCGTCTTCATCTGAGACTACAATGCACACTAATAATTGGGCTGTTTTGGTCTGCACGTCTCGCTTCTGGTACATCAACTTTTCTTTTTTTGAATAATAAGACCCATATGAGGCTATATGATTTTATTTTATTTTTCTATTTTTTAGATTTTGCGTAATTCTTTGTTTAGTATCTTTGGCAGCAATATATGTGAATGAAAAGTAGAATACATAGTGAAAATGAATTGTTTTTAGTTGTTTACTAGCGAATTTGGCAACTCGTTATATGGATTATAAACAAAATTTGAACTATCGTTCACCTTGTGGTTTTTCTGGTTGTATGACATGGTTGGTATACTAAATGTGGTGCTTTCCTTGTTCAGGTTTAATTATCGGCATATGGCCAATACCCTGTCACTGTATAGGCAAGTATACAATTTTAGCCTTGTTTGCGATTGTTTGAATTGTGCTTGACAATGAACTATTGGTCTTTAACTTCTTTCTCATTCAGGACAGTTAAGCGGCTAGGAATACCTGATGAAAGGATTATACTCATGCTAGCAGATGACATGGCATGTAATGCAAGAAACAAGTACCCTGCCCAAGTTTTTAATAATGAAAACCATAGACTTAATCTGTACGGGGATAATGTGGAGGTGAGTTTTTAGGCATGCATTTTTATGTCTGAATCTTTTAGACTAAAGAGAATATCTTCATCCTTAGCTTTGTCTCTGCCTCGTGGCTGTCATTGCAAACCTTGTTTCTTTTGTTTTACGAATCACAAACACTAAGCTAGATCATTTGTAAAGTTAGTACTTCTTTATTTAATCTTTACATTTCCAAATGTGGTTTAGTGTTGTTTATGATAACTTTTGCTTGTATAGTTAGCTGGATGAAACTTATGCTGATGTCTGCTATCGCATGTGTTCTTCTTTTCCTACTGTTTATGGTTTTCTTGTAGAACTGAGTCTCCTTTGGAAATGTAATGCATCTTAGTGATCCTACAATCTTCAAATTTGTAAGGATGTGTAGTTATGAGGTGCAAGGCAGGCTGGGTCTGCAACCCTAAAATCTGCCTCATTTTGATGAGTGTTTCTTTAATATTAAAATCCCCAGCCATATAAAATGATGCCATCAAATTCTGCTTGCCTTGCTGAGGCAGCTAGCTTAACTGTTTGATAGCATAGTGTTGTCAACATATTGGCCTTATCTTGAGGTTTTTATAATATATATAATATAGCAATCCTATTTTGTTTATGAATTTATCTCAAAACTTTATCTGGGTTATGGAGAGTACTCTATTACTGGCCTATTGTTAATATATTGTTTCTTCATCCTTCATCAAGTTTGTTTTGTAGTTGATAGGGTAGTAAATAACTTTCAGTGTTTGTAAGCTGCTTATCAATAGCTCTACCTTGAACTAGATTCATTATCTAAATCATCTTGGCTTTTGGCTAATTTGTGTCATATATTGTATGTTTGGGAAACCTTTTGGCATGATGCAAACGGGAATTCCCACTTTCCAAAACATAAAAATAGGAAGCAAGTAGTTGTTGCTTTTATTTGAACAGACGTTAAGAAGATTCTAACTACAAAACAAACACACTGATAGTACATTCATTAGTTGGGCAGAGGATTGGCTAGGTTTGCTTCGTAGACTGTATCTTTATGCTTGAGATATAAAATATAAAATTTAACTAAGCTTTGAGTTTCCTTTAAATTAATATAAATAGATTGATATTCATTTTTCTCTAGTGGCACATGTGATACCATCATGTAATTTAATGAAATTTTTATGGAATGCAAGTTTTGATATAAAGATTTTGCTTCATAATGAGCCTGACCGAGCTAAGCAGGGCTGCTAAAAAAACTTTCTGAGTGAGGTTTGAATCTATCTTAAATTAGTTTAGTTTATCTATTCTGTAGTTATACTGCAATAGATTATGAACTATAAGACCATAACTTCTCTGACAATTACTAAGTTTGTTCTTTTGTGAAAAGTCTGTGATGATTTTATCTTCATCTTCATTCTTATTGTTATTTTCTCTAGTGGAGAAGGTACTGGTGCTATAAGATTCAATGGCTATAACTTGAAAAGGCCCCCATGTTTATTTTCTTCTCTCATTTTATTGTTTCTCAATCTGTTGTCCTATTAAGAAAAGAAAATACTAGTATCTTTTAGAGGATGATCGTTTGCCTGCAATCTCCCAGGTAGATTATCGTGGATATGAAGTGACAGTGGAAAACTTTTTACGGGTACTTACAGGACGTCATGAAACTGCTGTTCCGAGGTCCAAGCGACTTCTTAGTGATGAAGGAAGCCATATTCTTCTTTATATGACAGGGCATGGAGGTGATGAGTTTTTGAAGTTTCAGGACTCAGAAGAGCTTCAAAGTCACGATTTAGCTGATGCTGTGAAGCAAATGAAAGAGAAGTGCAGGTATTGTTTCTAATTCAACTGTTTATTTGTGATCTATGACCTGTAAATTGGTTAGTTGAAATGAAAAAGAATTTGCTATTAGTGTAGTATTTATTGGGCAATGATTTTTGCATACAAAGAGGAAGGAGGATATTGAGTTCTTCTTAAAAAATGCACAAAACAGAAAACAATAAAGATAAAGAGGAAATCTCTGGAATAAAGCTACCCATGTCCTTGACAAATAGACTAATGAATTAGGACTCTGATTTCATATGCTTATCATTATTGGATAAAGAACTCATTTTTGGCTGATACTCGTAATGGGATTTGTTAGGTTTAAGGAGCTTCTGATAATGGTGGATACCTGCCAAGCCTCTACTCTGTTCTCTCAGGTCTCAAACTGATTTTATATGCTTGTCATTCTTGAAAACTCCCATGCCAATTCTTGTAAAATGATAGTATGTGAGCTTCTGGAGTATTTATTGTCCAGAATTAATTAACAGTTTAACACTTATTATTAAGGGCAAAATGTTAGTTTGAGTTTCTGTCCAAGTTTAATGCATAGCTTATGTTCCTCATTTGATGTATTTTGTTGAATGTTCTTGCCCTTAATCGGACAATCATATTTTCCATCATTGGTAAAACAGTGCATAGGTTGGGCATATAAAGAAGTCTGAAACTGAGCTCCTCATATTTCTAAGTTGTTAGGCTGTTTGGCTGCTGTTAAATGGTCTATAATTTGATGATTATGGATATACATGTAAGTTTAAAGGAAGTCTATTCTGAATTATTTTCCTTTAGCATAAATGACGGTTACTTTGCTTTCAGTCATGGGCAATTACATAATTTTGAGGAAAGGTGAGTTACGAGTTTCCTGTACTGAAGGTTGTGGTTTTACCTTTATGGTCATGCTAACATATACCTGCATAATTAATTGTATAACATATTTTCATTCCTGTTAAACATCATATCATGAACTACAAAGAATACAAATTTATCCAGTCTGCTTTTATTTTTTTGTTACTTTTCTTTTTTCTAGGTTTTGTCTTTGTGGATTAAGTTGATACTCTCAGCACTTAGTGTCCTGAAATTTATAACAAATTTATCCTGACGATTTCTTTTTCTGAGCATGGCAGTTTCATTCGCCAGGTGTTTTGGCAATTGGAAGTAGTATGAAAGGAGAGAATTCATATTCACATCATTTGGACTCTGATGTATGCATGAATTTATTAGTCCTTCAGACAAGTATTTGACGTTCTTTGCTGCAGATTATCCATTGGATTTCTTCTTGATTAAGTCCAATTTCTGAACAACTAAAATTCTGTTGTGATTTTTCTCTAAAATATACAGGTTGGTGTTTCAGTTGTTGATCGTTTTACATTTTACACTCTTGCTTTCTTTGAGAGGCTGAATATGTATGACAATGCTTCATTGAGCAGGTACATTCAAACTTTTTATAAGCCTTTTCACATTAAGTATTTTACCCGTGCTATCAAGTGTCTATTGAGCATGCATGTTCTTTTGTTTCATGTTCTTTTAATTGATTTTATATGCATGATCTTTTGTTTAGTGGTCTTTTAATTGATTTTACATTCCCAGCATTTTATTGCAGTTCTGTTTCTTAATATTTGTTTGAAACAATTCTCTTGAAAATCCCATTGGCAATTAAAACTTAATTGATCAATTTTGGTAAAATAACTTTCATGTTTTCTATCATTTGTAAATACACAAAATCGATATCCTCCTTTATTTGTTAAGAAAGTTCATAAGTCCAGACTAAGAGGCATCTGGAATACACAGCATTAAAATTATTTTTGCAACATGTCCATGAAGACTACATTGTTTACTCAGATTTTTGTGTTTGTTTTGCAGTCTTTTCAATTCATATAATCCAAATTTGTTGATGTCAACTGCATATTACAGAATGGATCTATACCAACGCCATTTAGAGGAGGTAATAAAGTTGTGGGCGGATGTTTAATCTTTTGCTACTATTTTTCTGTAAATTTATTGTTTTGTGGTGAGGACTCTAATTTTCTTTGGTTAAATTAATATTTTAGTTACTGAACTGTTGGAGAACTTTAAATGGGTTCGTGTTAGAGACAGATGCATTACATACTTTTTGTACTATAATTGTTTTTGCAGTATTTTTCTTTTGGGGCCTTGGACCTCTTTTCAGTTTGGGGTCAGGGTGTTGCTGACCCTGTTTTGTCTAGTCAGCTATATATAGCTGACTACTCTTCTCTGTAATTGATTGAGTTCATTTGGTGACAAATTCAGTTAGATTTCTGTTAGACATAATTATGAAATTCTCTCTCTCTCTGAATTTCAACAGTTCCTAATTTCCTATACTTTTAGAAGTTTATAATTGGTCCCTGAACTTTTTAATTATTCTTAATTGGATCCCTAGGTTAGCGTTCTGTTGAATTGGACAGAATATTCGTGATCCTTGTTTAAGTACATAACCAGATCAGATCAATTGCTTTGAACAAGTTACTGCTACCTTGTGCTTTTTGTGACATTGCATTCGGTGTAGATTGGATTCCTTTCATGAAATTTAATGATTTCTTTCATATAGTTCCAAATTCCTAGCATATATTTTCTATACAATGTGTAACAGTTTTCTATTTTACCTCCATTCAAGTATTGCACTTATTGTATAGATCATCTTGTTAAGCTACTGCCTGAGTACCTGGGTGGAATAGTAAAATTACACGCCAAATTCTATACTCATTTATGGTTGATTGTTTATTGGTTTGAGACCCCTTAACAAATATGAGCTCTGTGCATGTAACATAGGGACCAGTAGGTCATTTTTATGTGTTTATGCTACTGTATGTTTGTCATTTATTATGCTTTACCTTCATTTCCAAAGTTTTGAGATGTATATATTTCTTTGTGCTGAATAGATGGGTGATTTAGTTTATGTTCAATCTCAAGTTCTAAACAGTTAGAAGCTTCACCACCTGTACTGCGGGAGATTAGTGGATTGGATTGCTTCAGCTTTAGGCGAAAAGGCCAATCAGTCAAATCCAATTGATTTTCATAGGCTATGTTTAGCCCTTCTTTTTGGCTTAATAGTATTTTAAATTTAAAGCTGAAAATAAGTGTTTTAAAATTCATTTTAAACTAAAAGCATTGTTTCATTGTCCCACATCAGTTGTTCAGGATGAGAGGGGAAATGGAAGTTAAGGCACTTTTTTTTTTTGTTTTTTTAAATAAAGCTACTCACCTACTTTTTCTTGTATAAAAATTAAGTTCAATTTTTAAGAGTTTTTCTCTAAATGTGTTTGGCCCAACTTGTCCTTTTATGGACAAGAAAAAAGCCAGATAAGAGCTGGGCCAAACATTGGCTTATAATAAAATATAATTGTTTTGTTTCAAAATATAAATCCAATCAAATCCACAATCTAAATAGATTTTGATTGGATTGATTATTCAATATTTTTTAATATACAAGTTCATCAATGTATGACTATCCAAATTCATCATATACAAGTTGTTAGGAACCAAAACACAGAATAGTATAATTGTAGGTGAACGGAAAAATCAATGAAGATAAAAGACTGTTTTATGTTGAAAATGATAGTAAATGCAGTAGGAAGATATCCCCAAAGCCCACATAGCTCAGCTCCTACAGAGAAAAGAGAATTCTCTGCCTAACAGAAAAATGATTCTCTCCGTGTCCCCTCACTTTCAAACCTTCCTATAACCGAAATCCACTCATGACAATCACATATCTCTCTCTCTGCCACCCCATCATTCCCTCCTTGCTTCTTCTTATTCCTCCTGACGTAGTCTCTCCAAACCGTGGGCCTATTCTGCTGATGTGAAAGCTGACCATTTGGACTTACATTTTCTAATTGGGTTCTATCACAGGTCAAAATTAATTATCAATCTTGCAGCATATATACAAATTCAAGTGAGGAAAATTCTTAAATATGTATAATATATGAACTTCATGAACAATTTTAGTTTGGTTTGAATTGAGTTGATTTTTAAAGGTTTTGTTAGGGTTATGTTATGTACTTGTTTGAAAGGATATATTTATATCAACAGGAGAGTTATTTCTTTTATTCTTTTATTCTTTTTATTGGTTATTTGGTGATATTTGCACACACAACTCCTCATTAGTAAGATGTTGTCCACTTTGGGTTTAAGTTCTCGTAGTTTTGTTTTTGGTCATCACTCCAAAGGTCTCTTAACCAATGGAGCACATATGTACTTTATAAGTTCTTATTTCTCTTCTTGTTTGGTTTGTATCCCAACAGGTTTAATATCAGTAGGTCCCTTTTTGGAAATTTTTAATTAGGTCTCTAAACTAAAAATTTGTAATTAGGTCCTTTATCTTTTACAATTGTTTTAATTGAATCCTTTGAATTAATTATTATGGCTTGAAACTGTCACAAAAATAACAAATTTGACTGTTTTATTAATTTTAGGTACCCAAATACAAAATTACTAAAACATCAAGGGCCTAATTATATATATTTTTTTAGTTTAAAGACCTAATTAGAAATTCTCTAAAAGTTCAAGGACCTATTGATATATTAAACCATTTTTAATTTTGGTTTTAATTTTTATCTGTTAGCTCAATCTTTAGCTTTTAATTGGATAGGTTTTATGATTTAGTTTGATCATTGTAATATCTGCCACTTTTGATGATTTGTTTGATTGAAGTGGTGAGTTTTTGTTTTTGTGACGTCATTCTAGGTACCTGTGACAAACTTCTTTGGTTCTGTAATGAAAACAATATATACTGATTCAGCCTACAGATCCTGGTCAAATAAGAAAATTCGGGCAGCTAAATCCAAAATGCCTTTGGATCAATCAATCTTTGACAGTGACGGAAGAGTTTTGAGAAAGTCGGATGAGGAGGATCAATTTAATAATTTAACTGCAGAGGTGAAGTTAATATTGCCTCATTCAGAATACTTTTACAAATTTTCATATAAAAGTTTGTAAGTCATGGACATTGGATTTGCTGTGCAGGATTATATCCGGGATAGTGTTGGACAAATATGGAGTGCTATTCTCAGTAATGTGAATACTTTTGAAAGCACTGATACTTTTGTGTGCTATGGACTGGTTTTAATGCTTCCTTTGTTGATATTTTCCACGTGGCTGTCAAGTAAATGACTGCAGCAATGTTCCGTAAGTTTGTTTTGTGAGCAGAGACATTTCTTTGATGATATATGTCACCATTGCTTGAAATGCAATTTCACCCGAAGAAGCAGATTACTTGAGGGCTTCATAATATGGGGGCCCAGACTAGTGAGAGTGCAGCGTCATAGTTGTTGCATATCAGCTTTATTATTCTGTTAACCATTGCTTTTTCCTTGGTGCAATTTATTGTTGTTAGCCTTAGCCATTGATGCTGTCGGCTTGTAGCTGTTGTCATGTTTTGCTTTGTATTTTGATTATGATGACCCACCGATAAATTTCACAAGTCTTGTTTAATTTTGTTGACAATTCTTCATGTGTAATTGTAGAACGTTTGAGATATTTGGCGTATTATGCTACCATGCTTTGAAGATATACAAAAAATGGATTTGTGCAAGATACAAGATTATCCTGGCGGATAATAAATTTGATAGCACACAATGATATAGGAAAAAAAATGTTCTATATTGGTAAGGCTAGCAGATAGATCAGACAAGGAAATTGAAGGTATATGTACAAAAAAATTGGGTTTAGAAAATAAGTGGCCATGCATCTTTTTCAACACTAAATTCAAATGAAAGTGTGATGTGTCGAAAAATCGAAACCTTGATTTACATAGGGTGAAAGGCAAATATATATATATATATATATATATAAAAGATAGTGATAGAAAAGAATAATTATTTGTGTGCCTGGAAATTTAAGTTATCAATAACTTACATAATGTTTGTAAGTTTGTTCCATTTGTAAAGACTAATAATAAAAATAATCTTTAATTATGAAATGTTTATAATAAAATTAATATAAAAACTAATAAAGTCATTTAATTATGAATGTAATCATTTATAACTTTTAAAAATAAT